TATTGGTAGAAGGATGAGGGCTATGAGCAGCAGTCCCCCAAGAACAGAGCCCACAATTACCAGAATGAGCTGCCAGTCTAATAAAACACAACAAAGATTTAAGTCCTTAACTAATTTAAGTCCTTAACTGAATTCCCTTTGGTAGAAAATCAATTTTAGTATTTGTTGTCAATACTCGTTAGGGTTTTTTTTTTTTTTCCCCAAAAAATTATGTTTCAGCTTTCACTTTTAAACACATACAGTATACTCACTTTCACTGCATTCCAAACCAGAATAACCAAACGAACATCTACAAGACAAAAAAAATGTTTATTTTAGGATTTTATTTACCCAAACTTACATCAATACTGAACATACAGGAGGAGGAGCACTTACTTCACACATGTATTATTTTCAAATCTGGACCCACTAGGACAAGCTGTGAAAATGATGAGACAATTAAAGAAGTAGATAAATAACTATTCAAAGAAAGACACACACACATGAAGAAATGTTTGCTTGTTCACCAAGTTATCTTACCAGTGCACATTCTGTCACTGAAGTCTGTTTGAAAATGTTTTTCCAAACAGGTACAGCTGTAAGCTCCATCCTGTGATGTGCAGTTTGAAGTTTTTACATCACAAGGGTTTTCAGCACACAGGTCTGTTTCTTTAAATAAAGGAGAGAGTGGAAAAAAGCTTTAGCACATACAGCTTAAAGACTGAATACAAAATGTCCTAAGCAGTTACATAAGTCAGTAACTAACATGTCATGATGTGAACTGTGGATTGGAATGTACAGTCTGCAGTTTAGTTATACCATTATCATTAGGACATCATAAAAGTCTAAATTATAGTTTCAGTTCAAAGTTCAGAATAGAAGCAACCATGAGCAAGAATGTTGCATAGATCCAAAACTATTTATAAAGGGCTTTGTTTTATTTTTTTTTACAACTAAATCATCTTGGACAGATGGTGGAAACGGTTCGATTCAGACCGAAACGTAGATATAGTATAAAGGATTCTGAAACACATCTTGTCAATTATATTCTTTCTGAAAACAAATCTTTATCTTGTGTGAGTCTTGTTTTAGAAACATATCAACATAGAAGTTACTGGAAAAACACAGTGTGCTAGAATACAGGTAATAAACTTACTCTCAAATGTTGCCCCACTCAGCACACAGCCATCACAAGTATTGCTTTCTAACTCCTTTATAATGTCATCTTCTTTGATTTCAGAACTGGCTTTGAAGATGATCTGTAGTACTGCAATGATCCCTCGGGGTGCCCTCAACATACGACTGTTGCTTGGCCTGTTAAGACAGAAATCACATTTAGTGATGATTGCATCCTTTATTTTTTCAGGATAACACCATGTTAGTGTACAGTGATTCGAAATAGGCTGAAAAATTGTAAGGTAAAAGCTGTTGTCAGTCTGAGACTTACAAGAGTTCCAGCACTACAGATCCAGAGTAACCGTCCTTCCCTTTATAAACTATGTCCAGCTGTGTTTTCAAAAGAAAATATGTTTTGGTCAAGTTGAATAAGATATAATTATTTTTTAACTTTAGCTTAAATTTAGCTTGTAAAAATGTCAAAAAATGTCCATAAAGACACATTTATTG